GTCTCCTAGAACCCAGGTGGCTGAGGCCTGTTGGCCTGTATCCAGTCTTCCAGAAGTACTACTTTGGCAACGGCCATGGGAACTACGATGCAGATCACATCTCCGTGCTGAGCCTGCTGGGCCTCGGTACCAGCCTCAACACCAGCTTCCACACTGCTTTCAACACCAGCCTCCTGGCCAGCCCTCTGGAGCTGACCTCCGTGAGCAGCAGTCCTTCTCAGCATGTAAGCCGGGAGACGGCCGTGCTCAGCCTCCTCATTATGCTGGGCACGCTCTGGCTGAGCTATACCCTCTACCAGTTTAAGAAGAGGTAAGGGGGGGCCTAGGGGCAGGGGAAAGGGGCACAAGCCCCAAGACCACACTGATACACCGGCCTGGATCCCCAGCCCCTACCTGCACCCCTGCATGCGGGAGATCCTGTCAGACTGCGCCCTGCCCATCTCCGTGCTCACCTTCTCCCTCATCTGCTCCTACGGCTTCCGGGATATTAAAAGTGAGTTGGGGGAGCAAACTGGGCCAAGGGTGGGGTGGGGTGCGGTGGGGTGGGGTGCTCCCACAGGGCTGCAGGCTTAGAGCAGGGGTCTGTACCCTGCTGCAGTGAGCAAATTCCGCTACAACCCCAACGAGAGGCTGTTTAAGATAGCTGAGATGCAATCGCTGTCCCTGGGGGCCATTGGCAGTGCCATGGGCCTCGGCTTCCTGCTCTCCATGCTGTTCTTCATCGAGCAGAACCTGGTCGCTGCCTTGGCTAACGCACCAGAGAACAGGTTTGCAGGGCTGGGTAGGGAGGGCTGAGCAGGGTGCCCCCCCCCCCAAGAGCCCAGCAGGGCTCTAACCACGCATGCCCGTCTGTCTGCTGCAGACTGGTGAAGGGCACGGCCTACCACTGGGACCTCCTGCTCATTGCCGTCATCAACATGGGGCTGTCCCTGTTTGGGATGCCCTGGATCCACGCTGCCTACCCCCACTCCCCGTTGCACGTCCGGGCACTGGCTGTGGTGGAGGAGCGTGTAGAGAACGGACACATTTATGAAACGTGAGTGTGAGAGCTGTGCCTTGATACCTGAGCCAAGAGTTGTGTGAGGTGGGGCAGCCCATGGCCATAGGTGACCTAGGGAGAGATGTGGCCCTGAAGTACCCTAGCTTGGGAACCGTATGTGACCTGAGGTGGGGCATGGCCCCATGAACCAGGGCCAGAGGTGATCCTGTACTCCGGGACCATGCAGGATTGTGAATGTGTGGGAGACGCGGCTGACCTCCCTGGGCGCCAGCATCCTGGTGGGCTTCTCCCTCCTGCTGCTACCTATCCCGCTGCAGTGGATCCCCAAGCCTGTGCTCTATGGCCTCTTTCTCTACATCGCCCTCACCTCCATTGATGCCAACCAGCTCTTTGAGCGCGTGGCCCTGCTGCTCAAGGACCAGGTGAGGATCTGGCCCTGAGCAAGGGGTGTAGCTGGAAGATACAGCGGCACCAGACTTGCCCACACCTGGTCCCTGCTGTCCACAGGCCTCGTACCCACCCACCCATTATATCCGGAGGGTGCCCCAGAGGAAGATCCACTACTTCACAGGCCTGCAGGTCCTGCAGCTGCTGCTGCTCTGTGCCTTTGGCATGAGCCCCCTGCCCTACATGAAGATGATCTTCCCCCTCATCATGATGGCCATGATCCCCATTCGGTATGGGAATGCAAGGGTGGGCTGTGGGCAGGCAGGGCCAGCCGGGTGGGAGGGCAGCAGGGCTAGGGCGGGTGTCCTCTGCTTTCTCCCTGACTTCAGTGCTCACCTTCATCTTCCTGCCTGTTCCCCCTCTCCTCCAGCTATAAGCTGCTGCCCCGAATCATTGAAGCCAAATACTTGGACGCCATGGATGCTGAGCACTGAGCCTGACTGCCAGGCCCTGGCCATACCCCGTTTGCCTGTCCCTGTGGGTCTTCCCAGGCTGGCTCTGTGACTTTGTGTTGGGAAGTGTGGGTATCTTTGGGGTGTTGCTCTATGCTGCACCCCCTCACAGCTGTCCCAACAGGCCCAGGGCATCTGGGCATTGTGGGGGTTCCATGGTGTGTGCCCGCACCTCTCCCCATTAGCCTTTCGCTTTGGGTCAAGAATACTGCTCAGGGCAGCTTCTGTCCAGGGTGGGACTAAGCAGGATGGATTTTCTTTTGATAAAAGAGTCAGATGCCTGAAAGAGAAACCATTTCCTTGATTGTGTAAGGAACTTGCTATATGCATATTAGAGAATAAAGCTCCTGTTTCTACGCTTCTATGTGCCGCCTCTATCACTGTGACCCCACCCCGTCCCAGCTTCTGAAGGCCACCTGAGGGGCCTGGGGAGGGGGGGTGAAAGGGACCGATGTTTGTTGAGAACCATCTGGGCTGTCACCTCCAACTCCACAGTGGATGTTGGCCCCATAGGGAAATGTGGAAGATCAGGAGGATGCCAGGAACCTGCAGGGGAAGTGTTCTGGGAAGAGCATGATGAGGGCTCTGAGACTTGGGGCCAGTGAAGAGCGTGGCTGGTATGGAGAGATCAGCAGGGCTGACAGTGAAGTGTCCTAACACCCAGAGGCAACTTCAGAGCAACCTGACCAGAGATTGAAAACAGGTTTATGTAGGTCAGTCTGTTGAGTAGATATCAGAATGTATACGAGGTCTGACAATTAAGTTCGTGAACTTGTTGCAACGATGTTGCTAACCTTTCTTTGCTATCCAGAGATTATTATGAATTTGTACCAACTGGACAAACAGTTAACCAAGTTTACTATTTGGAAATGCTGAAAAGGCTGCGTGAAAAAGTTAAGACGACCTGATTTTTTTGCCAACAATTCATGGCTCTTGCATCACAGACAGTGCACCAGCTCACATGGCATTGTCTGTGGGGGAGTTTTTAGCCAGTAAACAAATAACTATTGGAACACCCTCCCTACTCACTTGACCTGGCCCCCAATGACTTCTTTCATTACCTAACGATAAAAGAAATATTGAAAGGAAGACATTTTGATGACATTCAGGACATCTAGGGTAATACAGCCACAGCTCTGATGGCCATTCCAGAAAGAATTCCAAAATTGTTTTGAAGGGTGGGCTAGGCACGCATTGGTGCATAGCTTCCCAAGGGGAGCACTTCGAAGGTGACCACAGTGATCTCTGCCATGACATGGGCAGCACTTTTTCTGGGATAAGTTTGCGAACTTAATTGTACAACCTTGTATGTAGGTGTGGGATGGGGCAGGGGCTGTGCCCTGTACCAGGGCAGTGCCAGTGAAGATGGAAGTAGAAGAAACCAGATGGCAGGATGTGTGTAGGGATTGGTTTGATGGAGGGGAGAAGGTGCCATGTTTCTGGCTTGGTCATTTGGTGGTTGGCCAGGGTCCATGACAACGGCAGCAGGTAGCAGACTACAGATCTGAGGCTGGGAAGCAGCAGTGGTGGGCAGAACGGCAGGCTCACGGGCATCACATCACCGTGAAGGACTTTGGCTTGACAAATGCACCACAGACCGAGGGAGTAGATGTGAGGACATCTGCTACACCTACAACTGAAAAAGGACTAACAGATTTACAAAGAATTCCTGCAAACTAACACAAAGACAATGACTGACAGAAAAGAGGCAGAGGCTGAACGGGGTGGGGAGGCAAAACAGTAACAGAGATGGCAAGAGATGCTCAAACTCCTTGGTAGTCTAGGAAATGTAACCCAATGATTGAGATGGTATCTTCTGCTTGGTAGATTGGCAAAAAGCAGCAGGCTGGATGGAGGGTGAGTTGGGAGAAAGGGGAGCCCTCATGCATTAATAAGAGAAGTGGAGACTGGGGTGCAATATAGACAACTTACCCTTCAACTGAGCAGTGCTGTTTGTGGGGATGGGTCAAGTTAAAAAAAGGGGGACAAAGTTTACTGTGCGCCCAGGACAGAACTTGGGACAGACCTAAGTAGCAAACAGAGGGCTGCCCTACCCCAAGCTGCATGTACCACCCCACCCATGGGGCATGTGAGCCTTCTTTGGGGCCCCCTCCCCAGTAGCCTGGGTGTCCCCTGTGGGCGGGCATGTCCAGAATCACCAGATGAGGAGCAAGCAGGCCCCTAGCACCCCAAGTCAGCCCCGGGCTGACATCACTCATCACCAAGGAGACAACTCAGAGGAGGTTGAGCTCAGCCCAGGTTGCTTCCTGGGGAAATAACCCAGCTGGGCCTCACAGGCAAGAGGGGAACAAAGGAATGATGTTCTATCTTACCCACAGGCATTGATTCAGTTCAGGGGAGAAAACAAGGGTTAAACCTAGGGCTCAGGCCATACTGCCAGCAGAGGAACAGGGCTTGGGGAGGACGTTCTCCAGAGACGCCTGTGAGCACGGAAGCCTGGGAGTGACCTACCAGCATTGAGGACACCAACCCCCCACGCCCCACCTGCTGCACACAACTAGCTTTCATGAACATCCTCAGGGCTGGGCGACCTGCTCCTCACCAGAGAAACATGTGCAGGAAAGACAAGGAAGCCACCCCAGGCTCCCAAAGTCCCTCCCAGAGAATGTCTTCACCAGGGCGCAGTGAGGGTCTGGGGCAACTAAGCTGGGCCTCCTGAGGGGCTTGAAAGGCCCAGGCTGAATGTGGCATGTCAACCTATCCCTGTCCCACCATAAAAACAAACTTGGCATTATGATCACAAGCTAACATTTGACTGCAACAAAGCAAAAGCATGACCAGCCCTCAACCGGGCAAACACCATGAAGGCCAGCTGGGCAGTGGCATCACTTGATGGTTGGGTGAGCAGTATGGCTCTGGCATGGAAAAGGTCAGCCCACAATCTGAGACTTGAAGAACAAAAGGAAAGACAGAACACTCCAGCAAGCAAGGACATGTGAACACAACTGGACACGGTGCTGCCCTTGACCCACCACGTCTCCCCCACTCTTCCTCCCCAACCTGAGAGGCTCCCTGCTCCTGCCAAAGGCAACAGGAGACAGACACCTGCCCGGAGCATGTTTCAAAGCAGATACATCCAGTTTATTTTGTAGTGCCTTCCAGCATTTTTATTTGCCGTATTTTAAAACCTCTAAGACCGTGTGGTTCTTTCCCAAACCCCCAATCTTGCCAAGGCCAGTTTAACACCCAAGGGCCTTTCAGGATCCCAGGCCTGAAGGTTGTAGGAGAGGCCACTGAATCCCCAAGGGGAAGAGAACAGTGTCCCTTGTCCAAACAGCAACAGCTGCCCCTCCAAACCAATGAGGCTGGTCTCGTGAGGCTGTCAAGTCTCAGCACTCCCAGAAGTGGTAACACTGAAGGACGCACTTGGAGGGGTGCCTGCCTGATGGGGGAGGTTGCAGGCTAGCCTTCCCCAGATCCCTGGCCAGTGTGCTCATTATTGGCCCCAGGACTCAGGCCACCAAAGTATTCCTGCAGCTCACGAAGGGCCCGGAAGCGATGGGAGATGGCATTCTTCTCAGCTTTGGGCATCTCTGCATACCTAAGGGGCAACAGCAGCAGCTCAGAGAGGAGGGAGCCCAGATCGGGAAGGGTGTGCACGCCCCTGACCTCATCCCGGAGCCCAAAGCTCAAGGAGTTTCCAAGAAAGGGGAGCAGGGCTACCAACTCCTGTCATCTAGAGTTAATGTCTTAAAAATCAGATACGTAGTTTTAAACTCTCCTATAGGTAGAAACCCATATTAATGAGTGTTGAAGGATATTAAACTTGCTCCAGTATGCCCCAAAGTAATTAAGGGAAGCCAAGGACAGGGGGGATGAGCTGCATGTTTGATCAGCTTTGTCATCTGTTGACAGGAAGCAGTGGGGCCTGACAGAGCAAACACAGCACTGTGGGGGAGCAGCATGGGACAGCTGGCCAGTGGCCTGTCCTCCATGCCAGGACTCCAGTGAGGTGAGAATCCCACACCCCAGTGGTGGGTTTCAGATCTGTGCTGTCCAGTACGTGGCCACTAGCCACATGTGGTCATTTAAATAAATTACAATTGAACAAAAAGAATTTCAGTTCCTCAGTCGCCCTACCCTCATTTTAAAAGCTCCATAGCCCAACTGGTTAATTGCTACTGGACTGGACAGCATAGATGTAGAATGCTCCTGTCACTAAAGAGCACTCTGGGACAGTGCTCTTTCATGTTGTCCTCAGCCCCTGTCTGGCTATTGTAAGGCTTCAGGCCACGCTCCCTAAGACCCCCAGCCTGGAAAACCTGACTCCAATAATGGTCACCATGTCCTGTGTTAAATAAGGGGGGTTTAGTGAAATACTGAGAACACTAGGCACTGCAGGGGTTTAATGTGGTGCCTACTAAAGGCTGCAGAAGTGTTAACATTTCATAACAAACTAGATGGGGGAGTCAGAAGGTCATCCCACAGAACTGTCAGGTGTATACTGTCAAGCCAAAGTCAGAAAGGGGAGGCCACTGAAGTCACACAGCTGCTCTGCAGTGGGCGGGAGCCCAAGCCCAGAACTCCCAGCTACGCCTGGCTGCCTCCCCCACCGTGGCCTGAGCCACCCAGATTCCTGGCATCCACCCCAGCAGGGCTGCCTTCAGCTGGAACGGCATCCTCAGAGCCTGCCCACATCCATATCCGCGTGCCTGTGCTTGGGTGGGGCGCTGACCCAATACAGACCACGGCTAGCCCAACCCCATACCCCTGGAAGAAGCTGGATTCCTTACGTCTGCTCGTATCCATCAGGCTGAAAGCAGGGGTCCCAGCCAAAGTCCCGGCAGCCTCGGGGTGCCACAATCCGGCCCTGACAGAGGAAAGGGGGACAGGTGGGTCACTGGGCCTGGAAGAGATGCATTAGGAGGACGACAGTGGCCAGTTTGAGTTTAGTTTATGATTTTGGTTAAATCTTATTTACTGAAAATAGACTGTTTCAAGGGGTCCATGGTGCCTGCAAATGTTTGCTAAACACATAAATAAAATGCACAGCTGGATAGCTCTCCCCTCACAAACAGGGAGGAACCACGTACTTGATACCCCTGGGGCCACCCTCCCTCTCTACAGTTTTGACAAACTATGACCTATTGACGAGAGTCAATTGTGAAAAATTTACAGAAAACATTTTCTCCTAATGGGAAGCTGAGGGCCGTGAACTTAGCAGACAAGCCCTATGCCTGCTACTATTACTGCATGTCTCAAAATGCAAGGGAGGCTCTAACAATTAAGTGAAATAACATAACAGAAATTACTTAGCACAGTGTTCAACATATAAATGAGCTTAATAAATACTGGCTGTAACAGGCAAATACCAACAAGAAAATGGTAAAAAAGAGGACCAATTATAGTCCAGTGTCAAGAAATGTCATGTTGCCATGAAAGCAAAAGAAAACAAAGAAAGAAAAAAACTAATTAAAAAAATGAGAGGTAGTAGAGGATGGGGATTAGCCACATAAATGCCAAGTCATTCAGACCAAAGGCAAATTCTGCTTCTGCCAGTGGGGAGCTGTGTGACTGAGGCCAGTTACTGAACCACTCTGAGCCACATCCACCTAACACGTTTTTGAACATCTGCAGTGAGGCAGGTAGTGTTCTCAGTACTGGGGTCACAGCAGGTCTCACCTTGCCCTCGTAGAATGGATGTCTTAAGCAAAACAGGTATCAAACCAGTAAACAAGTGAACAATTGCCAAACACAAAGTGCCTTAAAAGGGACAAACAGGGGACTTGACTCCAGAACAGCATGATGAGAGGCTCAGGAAAAGCCTGAGGGAGGGCACACTGGCCCAGCAAGAACATTCCAGGTGGAGGACACAGCCAACGCCAAGGCCCTAAGATGGGGAAGGGCTTGGCACATGTACTGCTGAAAGGACAACAGTTGGGTTCAAAGAGCTCAGGTGAGAAGAGAACATGAAGAAATAGGGTCACCTCAGGTAAAGTGGGGGTTGGGAAGCAACAAAGTGCACAAAGCAGCTAAAGCTGGGGAGACAATAGGGGATGGTGGGAACTGCGGTGATCAGCCCTGATTGATGGCAGGGCGTGCGGTGGTTCAAACTTCTGAT